CCACCCGGCCCGGGCGGGAGTTTGCACCTCTCCCTGCCCGGGTGCTTGGACCGCCACTGCAAAGCCAACTTTGGAAAAAGTTTTTTGGGGGAGACTTGGGCTTGGAGGTGCCCGGCCCTGCGATTTCTGATCTGGGGAGTCTTTCCAGAAAATGTTGCAAAAAAGCTAAGCCAGCGGGCAGCGGAACACGCCTTCAGCCGGCGAGTGAAGACGAACCATCGACTGTCGTGTTCCTTTTCCTCTGGGAGGTTGGAGTCCCCTGCGCGCCCCCACACGGCTAGACGCCTCGGCTGGTTCGCGACGCAGCCCCCCAGCCGTGGATGCTCGCGCGGGCTCGGGATCCGCCCAGGTAGCGGCCTCGGACCCTGGTCCAGTGCCCAGGTCCTCCAAAGCCCCTCAGCGACGGAGCCGGAGCCGGGGGCGGCGGCGCCTGGGGGCCATGCGGGTGAGCAGCGGTGGCGGCTGCAGCGGCCTGAGCGCCTGACCGCCGCGGACCGGAGCGGCGCCCACCCTCCTCCCCAGCCCCCAACCCTGGCCGCGGGGGCGGCGCGCTCGGTCTACGCGTCCGGGGCCCAGAGGGGCCGGGCCCGGAGTCGGCATGAATCGCTGCTGGGCGCTCTTCCTGCCTCTCTGCTGCTACCTGCGTCTGGTCAGCGCCGAGGTGAGCTGCGACGACGGCTGGGGCTGGATCCTTCCTTGGCCGCCCCAGCCCCCACGCCTGGCTGCCCCCTCCTCTCCCTGCAGTGAACTTTGGACCCCTGCAGCGCGTGAGCTGGGCGCCGGGCACTGGGTGTCCCCAAGGGCTGGGAGGCGAAGTCGGGGGTGCAGGGCTCCCAGGGAAAGGAGGCAGCGGTGGCCTTCTTTCCACCTAGGTCCCTGAACCTCATAGCGTCCTGGAGGGTGTGTGTTGCCCTGCCCCCTACCTCAGGAGCCCAAGATCATAAGCCCCTTCCCGGCCAGAGGAGAGGGGGTGGGGTGGTGTCTAGGTTACCTAAGGCAGTGAGTCCTCCCGAGCCCACCTCCGCTCCAGCCTGGGCTTCCGTTCTGCCCAGGACCCAGCCTTGCCCTAGAGATACAAGCTCTCGAACCCGGGACATCCCATGCCGACCTTTGGCGGGGGTTCTGGTCCCACCCTGGCTTCTGCTCTGGGCCTGGGTGGGCACCTCGAGGATGTGCTGGACGGTCCAGAAGCACCTTGTATCTTGGCGTAGAGGTGCCCAGAGACAGAGACAGAGAGAGACGGGCAGACAGACAAGCGTAGGTTCGGACGCATGGAGTGTAGAGGGAGGACTGGGGGTTCTCAAGGAATCCAGTCCCCGGGGCGGTGTGTGTCTGAGGCCCGGACATACCTGTGCCCGCGCCCCTGCAAGAGGAAGCACCTCTCCCCCCGCCCCCCCAATGCAGGGTGCGGAGCGCGCGCCTGCAGAAGAAGCCTAGCTGCAAGGGAGGTGGGGTATGGAAACGTCTGGGGGAGCGACCAGGTCTGATCGGTGCCCCTACCCCTCCCAGCCTCACGTAGCAGTGAGTTGGCAAGTCTACCCGGAATCCAGGTGGGAAGGGGGGCGGGGCAGGAGGAGGCGCTAGCGGGAGCGCGGCTAGGGTAGCAGGGAGCGCGGCGTGCCAGGGTTCCCGTCCCGCCTCCGCCCGGCAGCCGGGCGCTCGGACGCCTGAACCGAGCCGGTTGCGGGGAGGGCTGGCCGGGTAGGCTGCAGCCAGGCGCGGAAAAAGGGCAGCGGCGGCAGGGAAGGGGTTAAAGCGGAGGGCTCCGAGGCCGCGGCCCGACCTTGGGCCGCAGCCAGCGCAGGTTGTTTTGACCACCGAGGAGCCGTCGCCGTCTCCTTTTGTTCTCCCGGCTCCTCGAGGGCCGCCGGCCGCCCGCCCTGGGGCCCCGCCCTTCCGTGGCCGCCCCACGCGGTCAGCACCCGAGAGGGAGGACGTGGGGCTCGGCCCGGTCGCCTGCAAGCCCCTGCGATGCCCCCTCCCCGCCTCGCCCGCAGTCCCCCGGGCCGCGGCCAGCTGTTAAGGAGGGAGACGCCGGCCGGCCCCAGCTGCCGCCTCGCTTCGCCGCGCCTCGCCGCGCCGCGGGACCTGGGGGGCTGGCCCGGTGCCAGGGCGTCCTGGGAACGGCGGCGCCCCGCGGCTGCTCTCTGCAGCCCACCCCGCCCGGCCCCCGACTCGCTCACTCACCCCACGCATGCACACTCCTGGCCGGAGGCGATGCTGCGCTCCGGCAGGCGGGCGCGCAGAGCGCCGGCCCCGCACACCCGCGCCCGGCTCGCGCCCCCGCCGCCACGCCCGTGCACACGCGGGACACACGCGCGCGCAGCGCACACGAACGCACGCACGGCCCTGCACGCGCGGCCTGAGTACACGTGCGCGCACACCCACGCACGCACACAGACACGCTCAGCTCCTCTGTACACTGGGCGCCAGGTGCCCACCCCCGCGCAACAGGTGGGCCCACCATGGGCCCTAGAACCTCACCGCCTCTATAGCCACCCTATTTCCTCCTCGGACGTCTTAGGAGCGAGAGGCAACCCGCGATTAGATCCTGGCTCCACAGCACCCAGTTTTTTTACCTGGTGAGAGCAGCTTGACGCCCCTCAAATCTTACCCTCTGTATAGCTTTCCAACCACACCCTCCTGTGGCCGACAAGTGATGTTGGAGTGACTGATGGGGCGCAGGGATGTCCAAGCATTTCTCCTTTCAAAGAAGTGCCCATTTTGACTTCTAAGATCTAAGGGACGCTGCCCACCCAGTGAACCTGTCCCCTCTACTTCCGCCGGGCTGTTTTCCTCTGCTGATCCCAGCAGGAGTGTTCTGATGGGCACTGGATGTGTAACATGTGGATGAGGTTTCCCCAACCTTCTCTTAAAATTCCCAGCTTCCTCCAGCAGCAGTCCACCCCGCCCCCATGTGTATAGGTATTTGGGGCTGACACTGCGGGCTCTGAAACTCAGCCTCGCTCCTCACTTTTGATCACAGGGTCCTCCACACACTATTGCACATGGTCCTTCGCAGTTGATGAAGCACTTTCCTGATAAGCTTGGGAGGAGACCTAGATGGAAATCGTGTGGACCTGTCCCCATGGGGACCAAGCCAACCCTGCTCCTAATCACTAGAGCAGGCACAAAGAGGGTCTGCTTGGGGAGGTGGCCTTGGAGCTGACTGTTAGCTCCAAGCTGTACATGGAGGCCTGGGCTTTGCGACGCAGGCTAGTTCAATAAAATAGGGCTGGCGGAGGGTCTGAAGAGGCTGCTGAGGTCCCATCTCCATCAGCTGAGCTGGCTTCCAAGAAGGTGACTGTCACGTGATACTCCATCCGCCTCAGCACCCTTCTGCCGGGAAGGAGTGGAGGTGCTCCTTAGCCACCAACCCCCCAGTCTTTTTCTGCTTTGCTAATGGCCACAGGGGTGGGAGGTGGTGGAAGAAACCCACTTGCTGGAATCTCCCCAGCCCTGGAGGTGTGAAGATCGAGGTCAGACAGAATCTGGGGGCTCTAGAGCCAGGAAGTACATGTGTGTGGAGGGACTAATTCAGTGTCTTCACCTGGGATTCATGAGTCTCTCTCAAATCTTGCTTTACTCCTTCAAATACCCTTTTTATGACATATTTTCTTTTTTCTTTTTGTTTGTTTATTTATTGACTGATTTTGAGACATGGTCTCACGTAGCCTAGGCTGCCCTTTAACTCAGTATATACCCAGAAATGGCCTGGAACTCTTGATCCTCCTGCCTCCACCTCCAGAGTTACAGATGTGTGCCACCACACCCAGCTATGACAACTCTCCAATTTGTGATTTATTTAGCTGTCTGTTACCTGCTTTCCCCAATGAAGTACAAACTGCAACTACAGAGCTTTTGTCTTGTTCCCCACAGTGTTAGCAGAGTGCTTGTAGCTTGGACAATCATCAGATAAATGTGAAAGGGACAGTAAATGGTAGAGTAGTACTCAGGCCAGGAGTACTTTATAAACACAGCCTCACCACACCTTGGGTTCTAAGGGTAGCCATGCATTGCACAGTGTACCACCCTCCTGCTGTGAACATTGGTCTTGGAAGCCCATCCTGTCCCCATAGTGAGAGACGAGGATTTGTTTCTCTTCTCTGTCTTTGGCCCTGGACTGTCAGCAGGGACGACCGAGTTGGGAAGACACAGGAGAAGCTGCAAATGTTCTCTGTGTCTCTAGCTGGGCCTCAGTTTCCCCCACCTAAAATATGGAGCAGGTTGGATTTACTTAGTGTTCTGAGGAATAATGGAGTTGACTCCTGAGTTGGGGGGAGGGCACATCTCATTGACAGGTCCTTCTCTTCCTGCCTTGACATTTTCTCTTGCTCTAGCAGAGGTGGGGAGGCTGGTGGACAGGGAGGCTGAGTGAAAGTGTATGTGGCAGGGGGGTCTGAGGTATGAAGGAAGCTAGCAGAAGCTGGCTTCAAATGGCCCCTGTGTTGTACCTACAGAGGCCTTCTTCAAAGGGCTTTCTTTGCAGTCCCATCTAAATAAGGCCTGAGATGCAGGTAGGCAGGCCCTAGGAGGCCTCGTCAGCTTCTGCCTCTGCCAGCCGCAGACAACGCCCTGGGTGCTGGGCAGAGAGCCCGTCTCCCTCGTCGCAGTGGAAGCAGGCTGTGGAGCCTCTCTCACTATGTGTGTGTGTGTGTGTGTGTGTGTGTGTGTGTGTGTGTGTGTATGTGTGTTTTGTGAGCTGGGGCCCAGGTGGAGGGTGGGGTACAAGCCCCTTTGATCTGCCAGGCTGGCTGGGAGCAGGTAACTCACCTGGCCTCACGCTCACTCGTGCCATGCCCTTCCTCCTGCAGCTGGCATTGGGAGTGGGGCAGGGAGGAGGCTGTTTCCCTGTTTCCCTTGGCTGCCAGACTGGCTTGGCCCCAACTGCTTACTTGCCTTGCCCTTGCCCTGCCAGGAGCCCCAGACCTAAGATCTGGGACAACATTTTTAGGCTGTCAGGTTTCCTTTCCTGTGTATGGCAGGGTGGTCTGATGGGGCACCCGCCTGGAGGTTTCCAGAACCTGTAGCAAGAAAACCAGGCTCCCAACCCCACACCCGCGGGGGGGAGGGGGGAGGTGGAGAGGGGGCTCTGACTGCAAACAGGTGCTTCTCAGAGTCTCCTCAGTGCACAGTATCCCGGAGCAGACCACAGGCTGACCATTCTCACCCCCTGCCCACCTCCGGTCCCGGAAGGGACCCACCAGCCCACAGGGCATCTGGTGGTGTCAGTGTAGGATTAGGTGCCATTTCCTGTGGCCCAGCATGGGGGGGATAGTGCAAAGTCACACACTGTCCCCTGGGCCTGCAGCTTTCCACCCACACATCACCATCCTTGAAAATGTTCTGCGCTGCTGGCCCAGGATACGTGTGCCGCTAGCTGCCCTCACAGGAGCCATATGAAAGAACTGACAATTAAGACAACGGCAACTCATTAAGTGCCCATTATTTGTGGCTGCTCTGCTGTGTGCAATTGTGCCCGCCAGTAAGCCCAGGCAAGCTGTGATTAACCCCACTGCAAGGGCAAAGAAGCCACCGTATTTGTTTGTTTTCTTTTTCAGTGGTACTGGGGATTGAACCCAAGACCTCATGAATGCTAGGCAAGGGTTCTACCACTGAGCTACACCCTCAGTCCTTTCTTTTTTTTTTATTTTGCAACAGGGTCTTGCTGAGTTATCCAGGCTTGCCTTGAACTCACTCAGTAGCCCAGAGAGGCTTTGAACTCTTTCTGTAGCCTAGGCTGCCTTAGAATTCATTCTTTAGCTCAAGATGCCTGGAACTTTTGGTCCTCCTGCCTCAGCCCCACAAGTAGCTGGAATTATAGGTCTGAGCCAATAAGTCCAGCTGAAAGCAAGATTTTTGATGGTGAAAAGATATATTCTGAGTACCCTGATTTCCCTTGGCGCCCTGGCTTTCCTCCACTATGGGGTTTCTTACTCATGGCACTGCTGGTATTTGGGGCCAGTGATGTCGTATCCTGTGTGAAGTCCTACCCACTGTAGGAGGGTGAACAGCATCCCTGCTGCCTTTATAGCTGTGACCACCAGAAATGGCTTGAGGCAGTGCCAGTGTCCCCTGAGGGTGCCAGCACTGCTGTAGGACGTGATTAGGTAAAGAGCCAGCAGGAACCTTAAATGATGCTGGGACCTGTGGCATCAACACAGGGAATACAGGCTTGGGCGGCTCCTGGTGGGCTGGAAGAGGGTGGACCTGGCCCTGCCATTTACCAGTCATTCAGATCTGTGGCTGTTTATTAATTTCTCTAAGCCTCAGTTTTCCCAACTGGAAGATGGGGATAACAATAGTGTTGGCCTCAGGATTGTGCAGCATTTTGCTTCATCAATGCCTGACTTGTTTGGCAGTCCATAAATATAAGCTCTTGTGTTACTGGTAGATCAGTAGAAGAGAAGAATCATCCCCAAGAGGATCCCGCAGAGAAAGATGGAATCCTTCATGCATTTTACCAGTATTTATTGAGCACCAGCTAAATGCTCCTGCCTTCACAGTCTCCATCTGGGGGCTTTTCCCACTCAGGCCTGGGGCCAAGTTTATTTCCTTACGATCATCTCCTTTGCGTTGTGGGCTGAGGTCCACAGTGTCCACTCAGTCTGTTCAGGGCTCTGCTTGCTCTGCCTCACTGGCAGCTGCAGCCATTCCTTCAGTGGGCAAGGAGATCTTGGCAGAAGTATCAAACGCCACTGGTCTACCGGCCCCTCCCCTGGAACAGCTAATGGAATCACCACTCCACAAACAGTTCTCTAGCAAGCCACCTTGAGCACCCAGGTCAGCCTGCCAGTGCTTCTGCCACTCCCAGACAGAATGAGAATGGAATAAAATATTTTCCTACCTTCTCCATTCATAGATAAGAGCCAGGACCAGAGAGGTTCAGTGGCCAACCTGAGGTCACACAGCAAAGGGTAACAGTGTAAGGTGCAAAATCCAAGTCTCTTGAGTACTGGTTCTGAGTCTGACAAAACTGAGGGCAGTGGCCTTCCCTGGTCTTTGCTAAGCACCAGCTGTCTGTCCTACACATTTCCATCTAGCTGTGAAGCTGGCGCACTGCAGGACACCGAGTCCCCCAGTCTCTCCTCCCTTGAACCCCTAACAGCCCTGGGATACTGGGCAGGGTTATAAACTCTATGACTGAACAAAGTGACGTAGATGCTGGGGTTCCAGAAGCCAGATTTCAAGGTTGACTTGGGGGAACCAGAGCTGGGCATGAATGAACCCCTGAGGAGTTTATCCTAAACACCACCATAAGTGCCAAGCACTCGAAGCTTTTTTAAAAAAAATTTATTTTTATTTTATGTGTATGAGTGTATTGCCTGCATGTATGTGAGTGTACCCGTGTCATGCAATGCCACGGAGGTCAGAAGAGAGTGATTGGATTCCCGCCATGTGGGTGCTGGGAATCAAACCCAGGTCCTCTGTAAGAGCAGTCAGTGCTCTTAACCACAGCCACCTCTCCAGCCCCATACCCAAAACTTAAAAAGAGAAAGTGAGTCAGGCTTGGTGGCACACACCTTTAATCCCAGCACTTGGGAGGCAGAGGCAGGCGGATCTCTGTGAGATCGGGGCCAGCCTGGTCTTCATAGTGAGTTCCAGGACAGCTGGAGCTACAGGGAGACCCTGTCTCAAAAATACCAAAAAAAAAAAAAAAAAAAAGAAAGTGAGACAAGGTCTCTTTGTTGCCCAGGCTAGCCTGGAACTCCTGGGATCTTCCTGCCTCAGCCTCCAGAGTAGCTGGGACCATAAGTGGGGACCATACATCTGGCTCTCAACAAGTGTCCAAGAAACATAGCCTTTTGGGAGAGCCCCACTCCACCCCCCACCAGTTTGCCATCGGCAAGGACTCCTTTCCCAGCTCAGGCAGTGAGAGAGCAGAACCCCACCACCACCACCACATGTACCTGTGCTCAGCAGCTCAAAGCCCCAGCCCAGGGTGGTTCAGTGAACCCAGTAAGACAGAACTTCCTCTCTTCTCTATCCAGGGAAACTGAGGCACAGAGTGGCTTAGCCCAATGTCAGGATGCTGCTGCCCTCATAGTTTCTCTCAGACTACAAGGTCTTATCAGGAGCCTGCTTTGTGTACATGCCTGCACGTGTGCTGGCTCACCATGGTCCGAGCCTTTCTGGCAAGCTGTGGTGTCTTAGGCCTTGTCTTTGCCTCTCACTGTCTGATGACTAATACTACATTTCCCAGCCCCTTCTGCCTTCACCTCTCTCCTGGAGCCTTTGGCACCAGGCCCTCAGGACTCCCCAGACCATGGGGATGTGGCAGTAAGCTTTCTTTCAGGCTGTACTCGTGTGATTGTGGGACCTGTGGTTTCCCTAGGGGAAGCCAGCTCGTGGTGAGGCCTGTTAAAGTTCTTATTAAGTTTCAAGTGTTTGGTGACAGGCCAGAGGGGCTCTAAAAATAGGGTTTGGTTGGACATGGGGCATGGGTAAACTTTCAGGTTTCCTGGCTGTGTCTGAGGATTCCCTTCTCTCCTCTTTGGCGCAGACTAAATCGGTAGTGTTGGGACGCATGACCTCCCAAGACTACATAACTCAGCAAGCATTTATTAAACACCTCCTGGGCTGGGAGGCTAGAAAACATGCCTGTTCATCACCATCCAAGCAAAGCCTCTGCTGATGTTGGGCTTTGGGACCTTGGGCGAAGGATGCTGCCTGTTTGAACCTTTGCTTTCTTATCTGTGAAGTGGGGATAATTAGGTGGGGGGTGTGTGTGCGTGTATATGTGTGTGTGTTTGCTCCTGCACACCTTAGCTGCCAGGTGTGGAGGGAGCAGTGGAGAGAAATAAGATCGTTGGAGCTTTTCCAGGACTGGTGATCTGATGGGGGAGACAGATGTAGACAAGCCGGTGGAGCTTGGTGCAAGCCTGCATGCTGTGGGGGCTGGGGTGGAACATCCCTGCCCAGTCTTGGTTGTTCAGGCCTCTGTGCCTCAGTGCTCCTGGTTGTCAGCCTTGGCTCACACCCAGCCCAGCCTTGCTGCCCTCATGTCATTTCTTAATGACAGAGGGGGCTTGTAGGAACTTTGCACAAGAGGAAGTGTGTGGCTGGGGAAAGAGCCATACCTGGGGAGCCCCCACCCCAGCTCACTCAGTTCCTGGTCTCTCGGACAGGGGGACCCCATTCCTGAAGAACTCTATGAAATGCTGAGTGACCACTCCATCCGCTCCTTTGATGACCTCCAGCGGTTGCTGCACGGAGACTCCGTAGGTAAATTGGACCTTCCTCCAGAACCCAGCCTCCACTGGTGCTTAGGGGAGCTGGGAGGGGCAGGCAGGACATCCCTCCCCCTCGGAATCAGAGAACTAGAGCCAGGGCACATCCCAGGGAAGGCCTCGCCACACCCACCTAGGGCAGGGTGGAGTAGGCAGGCGGGTTGGTACCTGGGACATGGGGTGTGGCAGATACAGCACCCACGTGAGACTCTGGCTTGAAGCAGCGGGTGGAGCAGGGAAGGCAGGGAGAAGGCTCCCAGGGCAGGTACTGAGTACCTATCCAGGTGTGGACCCAGCTGGGGAGGGTGGGCCTAGAGGAACCATCTCCCTGCCCCTTTGGCCCAGGGCCCAATCTGCAAGGTCTCTCAGGGACACCTGGCCCCAGCTGGCAGCCCTGCTTGTGCCCGAGTGCGCTGGGTGAGTGGGCACGTGCTTGGTGGCACACACGTGGCGGGGCTGGCGGGCTGGGCTGGGAATGTATTTATAAATGCTGTCTTCAGAGCAAATTCCATTCTATTCTAACCTCTGGCCTGGTCCCTGGAGCCCCATTCAGCACCCCCCCTCCCATGCACCCCCGGGTCCTCATCCCTCTGGGGTCCTGTTTCTTTGTCACTTTGTAATCCTTGCCCAGACGCTATCTGCGGGGGAACAGCATTTCCTGCCTTTGTTTCCTCTCTCTGTTGGGCCCCTGGCTCCTTCTCAAAAGCATTCCCTGGCCCTTTCAATCCTGCCTGGCCAGGGGGTGGTGAGGCAAGCAGGAGGGGGCCCCAGCTGGGCCCACCTATTGTTCACCAGGGCCCCCACCCTATGTCTCCCACCCAGTGCCCGGCTGGCCAACCCTGGCCACACAATGGGGCAACTTCCAAATTTAGCTTTCTTGCTGTTTCTTTCCAAGGCCCTCTGCCTCCCTGCTTGGGCAAGCCCCTCCACATCCCTGGTGGGGGTCGGGATCTTGGATGTGAGTTTTTCAATAGCAGGCCTGTTTGGAGGCAACCATGTGGCTATTTTTTCCTAATCAACTTAACCTTTCCACAAAGCACATCTCTCCCCATCGCCTCCCCACCCGGGACATTCCAGAAATGGCAGGGAGAAAGGAAGAGATTGAGGGACAGACAGACAGACAGACTGCTGTGAGCGCCACTGTCAGCCTGGACGGAAGCTGACCAGTCACAGGCTATCCCAAGGATGGTCTTCTCCAAACAGGATCCCCCAGGATCCTAGTCAGCGGTGGCAACTGCCAGGAGCCTTTGTCTTAGACAAGGCCAAGTGGTCTGGGGAGAGTGTATGAACCACAAGGTGCTGAACTGAGTTAGCAGGGGCTTGTCCCCAGCACCCCTCCATTCATTTACTGTTCCTTACCATTGAGAGACACAAGGGACCCTGTCTGAAAGAGAGAGAACGGGGGGGGGGGCTGTCTACCTTCAAGGTCAAGTTCAAAGCCTCCTGCCCACCCTCAGTTCCTAATAGCCAGCTCTGGCCTTTGTCTCTGGCAGGAGACGATGTCACCAGGAGAGCTGGTAGAGGAGAGACCTCCAACTTAGAGAAGGGAACTGTGGCTAGTGACAGGCACCAAAGCAGAAGCTTGGATAAGGAACAGAAGAGCCTAGAAGGATGAGAGCTGGGGGTGGGGGCTGAGGAGAGAGGTGACCTAGTATGGCTAGCCCTCCCACCCCCTTCCCTCTCCACCCTTTCTCTCCAGGCCCGCAGAGCCATTGTAGGGGCTCCAGAAGGCAGGGCCTGCTGGCCCCCCGGGGATTCTGGGAATTTCTCCATTCAGCACTTCCTATGGGAACGCTGCAGAGGGCACTGGGAACTGGCCTCCAGTGCTCTGGGTCCCTGCCCCACCCTGGAGGCTGAGGAGGGTTCGCTGACAGTAGCAGAGGGGAAGGGTTATTTTTAACTCCATTAACATGGGTTCTGGCCAAAAATGGGGCTAAAGAACCCAGAGTGAAGCTGGAGGTTCCTGAAGATGCAGTTAGTCCTCATCAGCCCCACTGAGCCAAGCTGCTGCCCTAGACTCTGCCTGGCTGCCGCTCTTCAGAGTTAGAAGACTCAGGTTTAGAGGATGCTATGGGGATGTGGTCTCTGAGCTAGGAAGAGCCATCCTCCTGCCTTCCCTGGACCCCACCCTGTGTATAGCAGCCTAAGCCAACACGCCTGACTGTGCTGTCCCCTGCAGATGAAGACCAGGCCGAGCTGGACCTGAACATGACCCGGGCACACTCTGGAAGAGAACCAGAAAGCTCATCTCGAGGGAGGAGGAGCTTGGGTAAGACGAAGGTTCCCTATGGCAGCCCTTAGCATAGAAGCCAGGGAAGGAAACCAGGGCACACAGCCATCCTGGCTGGGGAGTCACCCCCAAACTCCCTTACCCAGAGTTGAGTTGCCATGCCCTCTGCTCCTTGTGAGTTTTTTCAAATATTGTACTTTTTTACCCTCTTGAGTCAAAGTCTCACTATGTAGCCCAGGCTGACCTCAAGCTCACAGAGATCGGCCTGCCTCTGACTCTGGAATGCTGGGATTAAAGGTGTGTGCCACCATGCCCAGCAAATATAATGCCTTTACACTCCTCACTTGAACCTTGGAATAGATGCGGTTAGCCCCAGTCTGCAGGACTTGAAACCAGGGCTCAGAGAGGTTGGAGTGTCAGGGTATCCACACAGCTTGGGAGTAGGAGGATGAGGCCACAGTCAGTTCCTCTCTCTTGAACCCAGTGTCATCCTGGTAAGCTGTGTGTCTCCACCACTTCCCTGGGCTGGGTGTGGCCTAAGGCAGAAGGAACAGCACAGCTCAGGACTAGCTATTGTTCCCTGGCAGAAGGCCCCAGTATGCCCCAGAGAAGCCTTCCCAGTTGAAGCCAGTGGCTCCTGCAGTTCCCAGACCCCTGATGTGGCTAGCAGAACCCACCGGTCCCAAGCCACACTCTTCTGAGCCACACTCTTCCATAAGATGATGTAGTTCTCAGCATCTCAGTTTCTCTGTGGGTGACTGCACAGTGCTGTAGGCAGGGCTCCACCCACTTCCTATTCCCAGCTCTGGAGAGGTTTTACAGAGAAGGGCCAAGTAACTATTTGTTTAAATTTTATTATTTTTATGTGTATGCGTGTATTGCCTGCATGTAGGTAAGTGCACCTGTGTCATGCAATGCACTTGGAGGTCAGAAGAGGCTGTCAGATCCCCTGGAACTGGAGTTACAGTCGTTAGCTGCCATGTGGTTGCTGGGATTTGAACCCAGGTCCTCTGCAAGAACAACCAGTGTTCTTAACCGCTGAGCCATCTCTCCAGCCCCAAGGCCAAGTAACTATTGACTGGTGCAAGCCAGCAGGGTGAAGTGCCTAAGGACTCTGGGTGGGCCAAGCCCACAACTGCTAATCTGAACGACTCTGAGCCAGGACCAGGGGACAGGCACATTTACAAAAGGTCAATGGACCCATTATTATTATTATTATTATTATTAGTAGTAGTAGTAGTAGTAGTAGTAGCAGCAGTAGCAGTAGCACTAGTAGTAGATCCTGTCCCTGCTTCTCGAGGATAGAGCTCACTATCCTTGTTTGCAGATGGGGAACTGAGGCTTAGGGCTGCCCAGTCACCTGACCAGGTTCATGGCTGACTGCTAACAGCCACTCGGGTTGGGGCCATTTCCCAAGAGCCATGCTCTGGCACGTGGTGCTCAGCACTCCCCTCCTGATGGCCTCCTCCTCCTCCCAGGTTCCCTCGCAGCCGCGGAACCAGCCATGATCGCCGAGTGCAAGACGCGCACGGAGGTGTTCGAGATCTCGCGGCGCCTGGTCGACCGCACCAACGCCAACTTCCTGGTGTGGCCACCCTGCGTGGAGGTGCAGCGCTGCTCCGGCTGCTGCAACAACCGCAACGTGCAGTGCAAGGCCACGCAGGTGCAGCTGCGGCCAGTGCAGGTGCGCAGGCTCCGCCCCGCCCCGGACCCCGCCCTCGTCTTGGCCCCGCCCCCAGCGGCGGCAGTCTCCTGGTTGCAGAACTTTACTGGGTGTTCCTGGCTCCCTTCTCCAAAGAGGCATGCTCCTGGGACCGTCACTCCAAAGTGTCTCAGGTCACAGACACCGAAAGCCGCAGAGCCCAGGACAGGGTTAGGTGTGCAACGTTAAGTTATGGACCAATTCTCTTGCACTGCAGGGACACCTTTAAAGAGATGTGTCTTCAAACATCTGACTGAGTGTTCTGAGCAGATGCTTAGGCGCCCCCAAAGCTCTCCACTATTCAGGGGTCCCTACACTTTGACACTTCATCTGTCTTTTGGGCAAGCTGTGTCTTTAGCAAGGGCGGCACAGATGGAATTCTCCAGGGGGCAAGCACTGCGGGATCCAGGGCACCCACTGGCAAATGCCTTAGCACTGGAGGGAGCAGCAAGTAGATGCTGGGCTATAGGAGAGACCTAGAGGCTGTCCCTGAAGCACCTCCTCTCAGGGCAGGTGCACCTCTCACAGGGCAGGGTGCAGGGAGGCCTAGCTGTCTTCTACCTCAGATAGACATGCTCTGCACCCTGGGCAGCCTCCCTTCCCTAGGAACACACTGCTCAAGGGCTCAGCACCAGCCCTGCCCAGTGCACTGGTTGTGAGGCCTGCTCCCTTTTCCTGCCCTCTGCCTGTGCCCAGTTCCCTGCCCATCTTCCACCCTGGCCTGGCCCTGTGCCCCAGATTACCAATGTCAGACCACACTTCCCCACCCACTGTCATAATATCTCCTGTCCCCAGCTCTATGGATGGACACCTGACAGCTGCCCTCCCCCTTCCCACCTCCCCCACTTCCTTCCAGATAACCATCTCCCCTCTGCTGCAGCCCCTGGCCTTGGCTAGTACTCCAGGAATGAGGACACTGTAGGACTCAGGCTCAACCCGGAAATGCCTTTCTCCCCCTCTGGGGGACCTGGGGGGGCTGCTGCAGCAAAACTGGAGGCCGGGTTGGCTAGGTCGAAGGGCTTGTTTGATGGAAAAACTCTGAGAGAGACAGAGGGCAAGGCCTTGCTATTGTTCAATCCAGGGTGCTTGCTCTGGCTTCTGGCTTTTGACTTTCGAGGAAAAATTCCAGTGCAGGCTGCCTGGCACATGGGACCACTGCACAGGTGGCCTCTATAGAGTTTTGCTGGTTCTGTCCTTCAGGTGAGAAAGATAGAGATTGTGCGGAAGAAGCCGACCTTTAAGAAGGCCACAGTGACCTTGGAGGACCATGTGGCCTGCAAGTGTGAGACGGTGGTATCTGCTCGGCCTGTGACCCGAAGTCCGGGGACAACCCAGGAACATCGAGGTAAACCATCTTCCTAGGGGCTCCTTGCCACAGCTGGGAAAAGGGTGGGGCTTAAAAATGGGGATCAAGGGACCCAGAGAGATGGCTCAGTGGGTAATGTTCTTGCTGATCAAGCATGAGGACCCAAGTTTATATCTCTAACACCCACGTAAAAAGTGTGGTATGGTGGTCGTACCTGTAATCCCAGCATTAGGAAGGTAGAAACAAGGAAAGTAGACCCCGGGGATTCGCTGGCCAGCCCAGTCTAACCAGTTGGTGAGCTCGAGGCTCAGTGAGAGACCTGTTTCAAAAGCAAGATGAAAGCCAGGTGTAGTGGTGCACACCTTTAATCCCAGCACTCCAGGAGACAGAGGCAGGCAGATCTCTCTAAGTCCAGGCTGGTCTAAATAGCGAGTTTCAGGCCAGCTGGGGCTACAGGGGGACCCTGTCTCAAAAATAAACAAACAAAAAAAATGATGAAGACTGGGCCTGAGTGGCACACACCTTTAATCCCAGCACTCAGGAGGCAGAGGTAGAGGCAGGCGGATTTCTATGAGTTCAAGAGTAGCCTGGTTTACATAGTGAGTTCCAGGCCAGTGGGGCTACATAGCAAGACCCTGTCTAAAACAAAAAACCAAAAAGCAACAACAACAACAAAAAGGTGAAGCACAGTAGAGGAAAACACTTCACATTGACCTCTGGCTGCCACAGGCCATGGACAGACAGACAGACAGACACACACACACACAATGTGTACACACACACATTTTAAAAATGGGGATCATGTACACCTCTGGTTAAAATCATCTGAGGCTTTTGAAAACAATGTAGATTCTTCCCAGCCCTAAATGAGGTTGTAGCCCTGGACTTGCTAGCAACCAGTCCCCTTCACTTGTGTTACTCCAGCATGGCTGATGGTGTTGAGTGATTGAACAAGTTTTTGCCTCAGGGCCTTTGCACATGCCTGATCTGGACTAGCTTCTTCTCTTTTTGAGCCTAGCTTTTTCTCTCCATTTCTGTCTCAGCTCTACAGCCACTTTCTCTTAGCCACTCTGCCCAGAGCAGCCCCATTCCAGTCTTGCCATCATAGCCCTCTGCCTCACTGAATGAGTACATAGAATGGTGGGAAGAGCTGGGGTCTAGACAAGAGCTGACCCTATATATACATGTTGTCTTCAGATCAGAAGTTGGCAGCTTGTTCTAGGGATAAGGAATTAAACTGACTGCTTGTGACCACAGAAAGGAACTAGGAGCAGGGGGAAGAGCCATTGGGGAGAGATTTTAGATCTATATACAAAAAAGCTAGTGACCAATCAGGGCTCTGTGGCAGAACTGGCTGCCCTGTGAGGTAGTGATTCCCCCACCACCTCCAGTCACTGGAGGCATACAAGTAAGGAATGGGCATCCTTATACCTGGGATATGACAGGTGAGGTTCAAGGTTCAAGCATCCATCAGATGAATTCATGTCTTCGATTCCAGAAGTTCACAGATCAGGCAGTTAGATTTGAGTTGAAAAAAATCTAAGGGAGTGGTCTGGCCCAGCCAGCTCCCTCTGGGAGCCCATTGGTTGCCCCCCTTGGTGTTATTCCGCCAAGGAATATGAGCACCTATAGGGAAACCTTACATTTGCAGCAATGAGAGGCTGCCTCAGGGGAACTGGTCTGAGTGGAGAAGTCAGGTACCAGCCTCATCAGCTGGATGCCAGGGATGTTCCAGGGGCTCCCAGGAAGTGATGACCTTGAGCCTAGCAGACCCCACTCCTATGCTGGGGTCTCCCCAGATCCTTGGAGGGAGAGCAGCTGAGAGCCAGCCTGGGTCAGGCTTCCAGGAACTGTCAGTTCACTGCATGTCAGAAATGTGAACTACAGATAGAGCCCAGGGCCTCCCATTCAGCCCTGTGCCTCAGTTTCCTCACCCCTGCAGGATGGAAAACATCACCTGCTGTGGAGAGAAATGAGATTATAGTGGCACCAGGTGAACATCGGGTGCTTACTGGGGTTCTGGCTTTTCCCATATGCTATCTCAACCCTAGCAGGCCGTAGCTGTGTCCTCTGTTTTAAAGGCATGGTCAGAATGGTTAAGTAACCCATAGAACAGTACCTAGGAGAGCCCAGGTCTGAACTGGGAGCTGACCCATCTGAGCTGTGGCCCAGCCCTCCTCTGCTTCTGATTGCCCAGGGATTTAGATGACAGGCCCAGCTCCAGGGAGAGTCTGGTTTTGGCGTGATACCCAGTGGCCTCCTCACCCTGTGACTAGAGGAGCCGGAGTTTGGTGGTGGCCTCAGTAGGAGACAGACAGACAGACAGACAGACATGCACGCACGCACACACGCCTATAGTTCTGTGCAGAGACTATGTCCTGCTGGGCAGTTCCCTTGATCTCTGCAGTCTGACTATGGCTGGAGGGACAACTACACCTATGGTCTAAGAGAGTGAGTTCCCCTCCAGCCTCCCTGTCTATATAGCCAGACTTTTCATGATAAGACAGGATGTCCCAAACACTAAGGTGGGGCACACAGCACCACCTCTACCTACTTCCTTCTATTGGGCAGATGGATCCAAGGCTAGGTCAGCTACAAGAGGCAGGGAAATAAATCCCACTGTCCCTGGGTGTTGAAAAGGACTTGGGGGCCATGTAGAACACAGTCTTCGGGTCAGGCACTGCAGAGCTTGGCCTGCCTGTAGTCATGTGTTATACCCCCAGTCCCATGAGGTGACTGTCTTCTTGCCTCACTCCCAGATAGCAAATCCAAGGCACAGAGGCATTCAGTTGCTATCCCCAACAAGGTTGAGCTCTGACCCTCCTCCTGTCCTTTTCCTGAGCCCTGAGGACCAGAGAAGGTTCACAATAGGCCTTGAAACGTGGAGTGGACCTTATGACCATCGCATGTTAACAAGTGCTTTTTCTTTTTTAGCAGCCAAGACACCTCAGACTCGGGTGGCCATTCGGACAGTGCGAGTCCGCCGGCCCCCCAAAGGGAAGCACCGGAAGTTCAAGCACACACATGACAAGATGGCACTGAAGGAGACCCTTGGGGCCTAGGGGCATAGGCAGAAGAGTGTGGGCAGGTAAGGACCCAACAGGGAAACTGAGGCTCAGGTTCTCCTCAGCTGTGGCTTAGACTGGGGGTGAGGGGCCACTGGAGCATTTGCGCCCTTCAACCCAAGCACCCTTGAGTTTTTCTAGGCAGGTGAGTGAAGGTTCTGGGAACCTTTGTCCGACTGTGCTTAGCTAGCCCAAGAGGAGAGTGGGTGTGGGTGTGTGTCCAGTCCTCCCACACCCTCCAGCCCTGGGCCCTACTGGAAGTTAGCATAGCTGTGGGTAACCCAGCTCGTTGGCCTGGCGCAGGGACCTAATTGCGAAGGTGGCCCCTGGGTTGTCTCTGACCTGGTGTCCTTCTTTCCCCACAGGGTTATTTAATATGGTATTTGCTGTATTGCCCCCATGGGGTCCTTGGAGTGATAATGTCGTTCCCCTCGTCCGTCTGTCTCGATGCCTGATTCGGACGGCCAATGGTGCTTCCCTCAACCCGAGTGCCCGACCACCCTCTACCAGCGCCTGTCCCCCACGGCCTGCCCTGCAGCTCCTAGAGCAAACGGAGGACTCTACTCCATGTTTCTTTCTCCCTTGACCCCCCAAACCTGAGACAAGTGTGTGGGAGCCTCACGGGGGACTGTGGACTGGCGCCAGCAGCCCGACTCATGGCCTGAGGGCCTCAGCATGGCTTGCCTGGTACCTGGACCCCTGGCTAGCCAGAAGGAACACCTCCAGGCAGGCTAGGAAACCCTTGTAGTCCTGTGGCCAGGACCACATGGCGAGCGCAGATTGGAGGAATCCTCACAGCACCCAGATCTGCCACTCATCTCCTGTCCCTGTCCCCTTGGCCCACAATGGCTTCTTCTCATTTCACAAGAGCAAAATCTGGAAGACATGAACTCCTCTGGGCAGGTGATCACAAGCCTTCTAATGGGTTAGAGGGGCAGTTTGCTCTTGAGGTGAATGCAGATGTGACCTGGACAGCCATCACCTGCCTCTTCCCATCTCAAGTCATTTCCTCCTGTTCCACGTCTCTACCTCCATGCTGTCATCTTCCTCCTATCTTGACTCTTCGTTTGCACCACCATGGGTTTCTTAGACCCTGATTGAGTTCCTGAATGACCTCAGTCATTCTTTTGGGCAGGAGATCTGTCCACTATATTCCAGTCCAGCCAAGACTGCCATGTAAGGTTGTGCAAGGTGTGTGCTGCACATGGGCAGTGCATGCAGGGAATACTGTTCACACTCTAGATATGGACAACTTGTCAATTTATTATGACTTTCTGGCAGATGTAGGTCAAGCCTCTGAGGAAAGGGATCTCGTTCTAATTCACACCAAGGCCCTGTGTGTACTGGCTGTGTAGATCTGACCCAGCCTGTGGCTTGGAGTAAGTCTGTGGTGTGGGAGGCAAAGCGGTTTATCGCCCATTGTTTGCAGTTACCCTGGCTGAATCCGGCTGTCTCCTTCCAGGCAGGAACTGGACACTAAGAAGTCTCCAAGGGAGGGGCAGCCCTCTCCACACCCCCTGCCCCCTTGCACACTGCCCCTCAGTTCCTACCTGGTGGCTCCTCCCAGAAACCAGCTGGTGGGCTGGGGGTGGGGAAAGGAAGGGAGAACCCCAGAGCCTGAGTGGGACTGGCGTCAGTGCACCCATTTCCCGTCCCACCTCCTCTGCACTTTGCCCTCCCTCTTCCAGATCTGCTTCCTTCAGTTTGTAAAGTCGGTGATTATATTTTTGGGGGCTTTCTTTTTATTTTTTAAATGTAAAATTTATTTATATTCCGTATTTAAAGTTGTAAAAAAAATAACCACAAAACAAAACCAAATGAATCCTCCAGAAGTCTGTCTGTTGGCATCGTGTGTGACAATTAACCTTTTTGTATTGGCAGGATGTGCCGACAGCTTGCTACATGTTCCTCTCACTCCGGGAGGCCAGGCGCCATCACACATTCTTGTGAGCGCACATAGACACATGCTCACACATGCATGTGCACACGTTAGCCCAGCTCTTGGGGAAGGCCTCTGTCTTGGGGAGAGTGAGAGCTGGTCCTGGCTCCATGGCAGCTCCTGGTGGGGGACAGTTGGGCTTTTGTGGAATGAGGATCTTAGAGGCCGGGGGTGGGTGTGGAGCCCTGCACTGTGGATGGCATGTCAGGGAGGAACTGGAGGAGGTCCCAGAGGGACCATGGAATCAGAGATATGACTAAAAGAACTGAGTGCTGGGCTAAGCTTAACCCTCAATCTGCTGTGTGGCCTTGGGCCAGTCACAGCCCAGTCTGGCCATAGAAGGGAAGAGACTTGTGGCAGCCAAGGTTTAGCTGTATGAGCCTGTGCCTTCTTTCCATTTTATTCTTTTGGTTCTGGAGATGAACCCGAAACCTTGCATGTGCTAGGCAAGTGCTCCCCCACTGAGCAACACCTCACCTCACTGCCTTCTTTGCTCATGAACCTTGGGTACCAGGCCATAAAAAGATGTGCTCAGAGCCCCACCTACAGGATAGAATTGTCAGGGAGCCCAGGAGTGGGGACTCTGACTCATTAAAAGGATGATCTGAACCTAAATCCATTTTGGCCCTAAGTAGTGTGCTCCCTGTCCCTGAGTGTGTGTGATCACAGCTGGGGGCCACCTTGGCTTAGGTGAAGGCTCCCGTGATTGGGGTGACCAAATGACTCAGTTCATTCACTAACTCCTTGAGTCCTGCCATGTGCGTCTGTTCTCGTCAGAGCTTCCACAATCATGTAACTTTAGTCTACCCTGATTCCCATCCTGTGCTGGAGCAGAGGGGTCCAGCAAATGCTGATGAGCAGAGCTGAGGGAGATTGCCTAGAAGATCCTGTCCTGATTACCATTCTGACTCCCTCTCCTTGGATTCCCAGTGTCCAGCTTCCCAGACACCAAAGAAGAGGAGGAGGGGGAGGAGGAGGAGGAGGAGACAGCCCCACCAGGAGGCAGAAATTGAGACAGCTGCAGGGCCCAGTGCATGGGCCATCATGACAGCTGCCAGCAGCTGGGCCTTTTCATGGATGATGGCAGGAACTTTCCGGAAGAGCTGCCCGCATTTGTCTTCTTGCCTGTGTGCTTTGCCAGACAGCCACACTGAGTCTATGCACCTCTGGGGACCCAGTGGGGTTTCTCTTACTCTTCAAATCATCAGACTAAAAATGGCATTCTCCCAGAAACCCCTCTTTTGGAGAAGGCGTTCTCTTCTTCAGACCTTCCACGTCTCTGTTCCAACCCTCCAAGGAAAAGCCATATGGCTTATTTTATTGCCTACTCCCTTCTCAGCCTAGAGAGTACCTGGTATGTATATAGCAGTCACTCAAAAAAGACTGCTGTGAACATCGCAATCTGTCACTGGAGAGATGGAATATGGCTGCCCCAAACCATAGCTTGCCTGACTGATTCTCTCTCTCTCTCTCTCTCTCTCTCGCTCTCGCACACACACACACACACACATACACACAGAGACACACACGCCATGGTATGGCTGGAAAACTGTAGATTCTGAGGGTGTCGCTAACTGTTGACAAGAGATTTCAGTTTCTCATGAGCTCCATGTTTAGTCCAACATCTTCCTTGTTGGGAAGATCTGTTGAGGTTGAGATCATGTTGAATACCTTCTAAGTGTGTCTAGTGTCCTCTCTCTCCAAGTCTGTACCTCACCCATCCATCCATCTTCTTATCTACTCATCTGTCCATCCACCATCCATCCATCATTCACATACTCATCTACCTGCCCATACATCCATCCACATATCCCTTTATCAGTATATCCATCCACCCATCCGTCCATCATTCACATATGCATACATATTCCCAACTGTCCACTTACCCATCCATCCATCCTCTCATTCCATAATCCCTTTATCAATACATCCATCTACCCAACCATCCATCATTGATCATACATACATACATACATACATCTACCCATCCATCTGTCCTCCCATCAATCTATTTGTTCATCCACTCATCCACATATTCACAAATTCATTCATCCACTCAGTCATATCCACTTATCCATCCATCTGCCCACCCATCCATCCATCACCATTCATTTACCTCCACCCATCCATCTACCCATTTATTATTCATCTATCCCATCACCAACCCATCTATCCACCCACTCATCCATCCACCCACCATCCATTTCCCCACCCTCACCCCTCCCTCCACTGTCCACTGTCCCTCTTTCCCTGCTGCATATCACCCTTACCATGCCTCATTTTCCATACTTGCCACCTCATTCTATTAATTTCTGAGGAGCTTGACGCCACAGTGGAGAGGGCACAGCTTCACAATGAACACTAGGTCCTTATTTCAGCCTCGTTCCCTCCCTCTGCATGGGCTCACAGACCTATTGCACAGGTTAGAGACACAGGGCCAAGGTCTGCCCAAGGTCTTGGTGAGCAATGGATTCGTGGCTGCTGGCAGTGCAGTGGGGTGAAGGCAGAAACCTGGTAGTGGGAATGCCCTTCCAGAGGGTAACCCAAACACCTGCATCTCTGCTCCTGGTACCGTCCCATTGTTCTGCTCAGTTAACCTGGCATTCCTCTCAGTGAGGTCCAACCCCACCTCAGTTCCATGGGTTACACCTGGTTCTGCAAATGCCCACAGTCCTCTTAAGGGACATTCATGGGGCAGACCTTTTGCTCCCCATAGGGAGCCTTAGCTTTGAGAAACAACTTGGGTACAGGGCTGAGGGAGGCCATATATCCCTGACCATTTGGACTCTAGGCAGACCTCTGGGCACTTAAGTTCAAGCCCTTTCAGAAGACATGTCCTTGTGGATTGCTGCATAACTCGAAATGCATTTGTTTTTCAAGACTGCTGGTCAGACCATTAGGACAGTCAACTGCTTCTATTTCTCTATGGCAGATGCCCACCAGAATGACAGTCATTGTAACCACTGGGCCTCTATCATCTGAGGCCTTGTTTCCTACTCCAAACACCAGGATTTGGACCATGGGAAGAACTCCCTAGCTGGACACAGGACATTTTTAAGACTGTCGGGACTACACAACAGTGCTTGTCCTATCTCAGTACAATTTTGGCCTGTGCCAAGGGCCCACTTCAGGAGAGCAGGTCACCTAGGATCAGTCTCCCCTGTCTCCTCCTCACACCTTGGGACTTCTGCTGTGTCCACCCCATCAGAGGGGGCACAGTTCTACTCAGCTCCCCTCCAGTAAGCCAGCAGGTAGCTGTCAGGGCCACCCTCACTGATGAGGCCAGCACCCTGAATTCACCTCTGTGGCTGAGTACAGTTGTATACTAGTAAATCCAGCCTGATCCTGAAGCAGTGCTCACGTCCAGTGTGCATTCTCACAACCCACTCATGAGCCTCTGGGGCATTGTTAATATGAAAAAAGTAAAGTCTGCTGGGTGTGGTGATACATGACTTTAATGCCAGCACTTGGGAGGCAGAGGCAGGTGGGTCTTTGTGAGATCAAGGCCAGCCGGGTCTACGTAGAGAGTTCCAGGCTAGTTGGGGCTACAGGGAGACCCTGTCTCAAAAATAAATAAATAAATAAATAAATAAATAAATAAATAAATAAATAAATAAAGCAGGGCTGGAGAGATGGCTCAGTGGTCAAGAGCACTGGCTTCTCTCACAGAGGATCTGGATTTGGTTCCCAGCACCCACATGGCAGCTCATCCCTAACTCCAGTTCCAGGGGTTCCAACACCCTCTTCTGTCCTCCATGGGCATTGCATGCATGTGATGCACTTACAGACATGCAGACAAAACACTCATACACATGAAATGAATAAAAATAAAAAGCAAAGTCTGCACAGTGTTCAGCCTTGGACGGACCTAATCACAGTCTAAAGATCCTACAGGTTATGGCCCCTGAGCGTCCTGGCCATGGCAGGTTCAGCCTTAGCAGAAAGTGAAGGGAGACTCAAACCATCCACTCATTTATCCATCCATCCATCCATCCATCCATCCATCCATCCATCCAATATCCATCCATTCACCCATCATCTCCCATTCATCCATCCTCCAACCATCCATCCATCATCCACCCATCCACCATCTACTTATCTGTCCATCCATCCATTTATTATCCATCCATCATCCGTCTACCCATTATCTACCCACCCACTCATCCATCTGTCCATCCATGCATTTTCTCATCTACTCATCCATCCTCCATCCATCCTCCATCTGCATATCATCTATCCATTTATCCATCCTCCATCCATCCATCATCCACTCATCATCCATCATCTGTCTATCCACCCATCCATCATTCATTCACTTGTCCACTTACACATCCACCCATTGTCCCACACCCATCTATCTAATATTCATCCATTTACCTATCATCCACCCACTCACCCATCCATCTATCTATCCATCTCTTCTTCCAGCAGCAGTGAGGAGCCTCTGGAGTTCAAGGTATCCCAGAATGTTCCTGAACTGGTTGTGCTCCCTACTAATGATGTAACTCACCATTCTGTAAATCAGGTCTCAAGTTTCATTTTTGGCTCTCAGTCTTGGGGCTGGAAGAATAGTTACACTTTCAGTGTAGCATAGAATTCCTCAGGGCTGGCTTTCAGTTTTTTATTTTGTTTTGTTTCTGTGGTATAGGGCATGTAGCCCAGAGCCTCACCATGCTAGGTAAGCCCTCAGTTTTTGGTCTGGGTCTTAGGTCAAGAATAGGATAGGATATTGCCCCCTGGTCCTCCCACTGCCCAGCCCTACACAGTTGGAATGGAATTCCTCCTCCCTTTCCTTCCAAGGACTAGAGTCAAAGTCTTTATCTTCAGCGGGCTCTTTTGTCCAGGTGACTCCAGGTGGCAA